CCAGTCCTGTACGCAATGCACACGCCTTCCTTTTTTGGTTTCGGAGTGATGGAAGGCGTGAGCTTGCGAACGGACTGGTGACAACGGACAGTCACATAGCGGGGTCACAACTTTCCCCGCCAAGCGTGACTCCGACTTAGAAAAATTTGCCCCCTCAGACGTACAAAATCGTCTCTGGCACACATTGTTCAATGATGTTTTTGGAGCGAATGGAGTTGATTGGAATAGGTGAGAAAAGAGGATTTTCTCCTTGATGTCAGTCCAAATTCATCGAAATTTGACCTATGTCAAATGAATCTATGGCCTTCAAAACCTACAATGGTGCAAATCTCCCAAGGCATGATTTTTCTGAGTTATGAGGCTCTCAAATCACGAAGTCCCACTCATAGTTGGCGCGTGTCACGCGCATCCCGCCAAAAGGGCGACCGTAGTTCCCAGCCGCTTCGCAGTGTAGCGAGTATTACGAGCGGAGCTTGAATTGCGAAGTGGCTGGTATCGAGCCTAAGCCAGGCGGGCCACAAGCCAGCCACGCCAGCGCAGGGCTACATTGAGAACGCACGGCCGACTGACAGAAAGTCCACGTAGCCCTATAGCCTAGCCCTATAGCCCTGGTCCATGGCCCTCGGAGGGCTATAGGGCTATGAGGCTACGAGTCCGTAGCCCCGGGCCACGGGGCTATGAAGACAAAAGTGGACGGGCTATGGGAGTCCGTTACGTCTATGGCCCGGAGCTATGTGACAAGGCCGAAGGGTCCCGCAGTGTATATATACTGTTGCGCGAGGTGCATTCGACGCCCTCATAGACGGCGTAGGGCGCTGTAGACTATTTTTACCCATACGTCTGCTTACCTCTCAGGACCCCGCCAACCAAAAGCCTCAGTTGCTCTTCTGCACCATGTCCACAAAGCGTGCTAGGTCCCCTTCTGCTTCTCCATCCCCTTCTCCAACGTCGAAAGCTTCAAGGACAGTCTCTGTAACATCATCAGCTGCAGGCTTACGAGCTCTAATCTGCACGCTGCCTCCGACATGTAATCCTCCGCGCCATCAGCCAACAGAGCTGTCGAGCACCAAAGACCTTGAGAGTCACTATGCAACGTATCATGCGCACGTCTGCGAAGAGGTAGGGTGCGGGTGCGTTTTCCCAGATGGGAGACTACTTGAGCTGGTATGAGCATAACTTGGTTCTATCCGGCGAGGCTAAACGTGTAACCCGAGTTGTAATTACTTCCATGATATAGCACCAGACTGAATGCCACGATCCACTCGCCGAAGTCAGAAAAGAACGGGGAGAGAAGATTGTGAGTTTCCTCGGCTATCGTCAATAACGAACTATTCACTAACAGTCACTTTGCTCTCGCGAACCTTGTGACTAAGTTCGCGTGCCACCTTGTCTCATGTAATCGGCTATTTTTGACGCCTAAGGCACGTCGATTGCATCTCATCCAAGCGCATGGATACCCTAAGGAGTACTTCTTCGCTGTCACAAATAAAGGCGTTGGGGGATTATTGAAAAAATGGGGTGAAGGCGCGACGCTGATAAGAGGTGAATGGAAACCAAGGGACACTCAAGCGAATACGAGCGAATCAGACAATCCCGAAACTGAGACCAGAACCTCTGAAGAAGTAGAAGACAGCATGCATATCGTGGAAACAAGGCCGGTGGTTGGGTCATCAACGTTCGTGTCTAATCCGGCGACATTCACTGGAGACGAAGCAAATGACTCAGAAGTCGGACACGAAGATTATGATCTGGAAGCTTTAAGAGACTCTATGACCTCCTTATCGCTCGTCCCATCCGCGATCCGATTTGGCCGTGGTGGAAAGGCTGGTGGGTTCGGCCACCGAGGTCGCAGTGCTCGTGTCCCTCATCAGTCTTTCCATTACGCGCTTGGGGATCGCGGGGGAAGTTCGGGCACTGTCACTGCTCCTCTTATATCGATGACTGCAGGGACTACTCCACCTGATCGCTCGCAGATGTCAGGGAAGGATACTTCAGGGGCAGTGTACACGAATGCAGGCCGCGGAAGGAGGATAAGAGGGGCGGGAAGAAGAGGTGGAAGCCGGGGTAGTGTATCTGGTTGACAGATACTTCCAGCGGTCTGTCGTATTGTGCAGGTGAGTGACCGTAGCCGAAGGTTGCATCTCGTACCGGAAGACATAGGTGGTAAGAACCTACATGCCTACGACTCAGAGACTTGGCCCGGGGATACAGGAGCAAGCGCACATGCTGAGTGTATGGTGGCAATCCTAATTTTACAATTGTTCCGAGAAGCTGCTCAGCTTTAGACTAACATTCCCTCTATCCAGGTATGAAGAAAATAAGCTATGCATCATGCTACGCACAAACCTTCACGAGGAACTGGCAGTGGATGGACGTGGAAACATTGGTTGGGTTTGCTGCTTTGCTCGAGGCAGAGAGCGAAGAATTTTGCCCTGGCGCAGTTGCCCTCCGATGATGGTCGGTGCTTCTTTCTTAGTGTACACTCGTAAACCAAGGGTGACTTCATAGTCCTCTGGATGTGGCAACCGTCCATGTACCTGGCCAACAGCATTCAATAGATCTGTGGAGGTAAGCTTCACCAACAAATACGACTCACGTCGTCTTTCAGCTTGTTTGCGTCCGCCGCTGTATCTACGCGCAAAGTGATGTGTGAGCCATGTTGATGGCCCTCTTGGTCCATGCACGCGCGACAGATATCGAACTGATGGCATCTAGCCAGTTAGTGTCAATGGGGATGGACGAGAAATGTTGATGAAAGACCTACTCCATACAACGGTAAAAGGTCCCCAGAATTGGACGGGTCTAACAGGTCCGATATCAAATGCAGCCACCATCACATCACATTCAGACTGACCTTGCAGATGTTGCACTCGAAGTTCTGATGTTTTGTAGCTGGCGGCTCTTGGTGGACCCGATGGCTATGTAGACCCATGGAAAGCTCAGCAGCTACATCTACGTCGGGGGTACTGGGGTGGAAAGTACGGTGCAATGCGTCATCGGGAAGTTGATCTGGACTTGTCACGAAAGCTGTATTGCTTGGAAGATCTTTCACGGTATGGTGAACAAAGACCACATCTTCCCCGGATATGGGTGACAGTATGCGCTGCGCCTGGATTTCGGCAAGATTTCTACCTGTAAAGATGTCATCGTCAAGATGTATGACATCGCCGAAGCGTCTGCCACTTTCGAATCAGCACCAGTACCCGCTGGTAATAAACACTATTACTCAGGTTCGAAGTCTAGACAACTTTCAGAAAAACGAACGGATATCATGCAGGAGAGTATCGTACTTATTGCAATGCGTCGACTGGTATATGCGCTAGCCCATTTTCGTCCTAATTTCCGAATATCCCATGCTCCCCTTTGCTTGCGTATCGTAGAAAGGGACTGGTCTTGAGCGCGAATGTAGATCCCAGGCTTACCCCCTTCTTTGTCGTGGTACAGCTCCGTGTGAGCCTTTCGCTTTTTCTTGCGATCCAACCTTGGCTTTGGACTCCGGTCAGCGAGATGCTGGATGACTTTGAGGATCGCGTCGGGCTCACATGTATCACGTAGTTGCCTTCATCAAGGTCCAACTCCAAGTTCACACTTCGATGCCAAAGGCGCTCGTGCGTTGATACCCCCACAAGCTCATTAGTCCCTTGCTTATAGATAGCGAAATCTAGTGACCAGTGGAAACAACCGGACAGCTCCTGGAAGTGGCGGTCATCAAGCCGCGATAGGACAATAACAGCCGGGGTGTCCTTTTCGACATGGAGTGTAACTGATACGTCCACCTGCATCAGTAAAGCTCTTGCGCAGCATGACTCCACGCACAGGACACGTCACCATAGTTCCAGGCGCCTAAGATCAGGACCCCCCAGTTATACAACAATAATAAATCTTACGCACATGGCAACGAGCGGGCCACCACGTTTAACCACAAAGAACTGATGATCCAACAGTCATCAAAGAGCCTCGTCCTGTCCACGTACGTCCATGTCGACAGAAAGTCCTTGTCTGTGTCGGATGAGATGAACAATCATTGGGGAGAAAACCTAGCTGGTGCCTACACTCCATGATGAACTCGCCATCATCCCCGAATTTATGGTTAAGATCAGACGGCTTGATGTCAGGGAAGTCGGACCATTCTTTCGATCCGTCGCTCCAAGGACCAATCCATTCGCCACTTCCCCAAGGGTTCCTGATTTTAAGGAAACGCTTCCCTGTCGCTAGAAATGAACCGCGGCTCGAAGGTGCACCGCTCGGCGAAACAGACCTCGGTGCTCTGCTGCTTCCATTATAGAATATGCATGCTCTTGTCTGACTTCAATAAAGGGGATTCCCAAGGGAGTCGTGATCTTACCTTTCCTCAGACCTGATTCGGGACTATGGGATTAGTATTACGCATTGCAGCGGCCAAGGAGTCACCTGATGTTTCATTTGTTATAACGCAACTGAAAACCCTATCCTTCTCGGCGCCATCCCGCAACCTCGACAGTTCTTCCTCCCAAAATCTGTCCTCGTCGAATATGTCGTGCAGGTAGAAACAGTTCGAAACACCGCTAGTTCCAAAGGTTCAATTACGGAATACTGCCAAGTCAACTTCCTACTTACCCAGTTAGGCTTTCCACAGCTTCGCACGTCCAACCATAGTTCAGGGCCTCGTAATCACCGTGCAGTTTTGCAAATGCCTTCTCAATCAGAGGCCTGTGAGATTGTCGGTACATAAAGAACTCCAAAGGAATTAGAAGATGGTCTGACACCCAAGTCTCATTCTCTGTTCCTGAAGACGCGTAATACAATGACTTCGAGCCTGATCTTGCCACTCCGTTGTACGTTTTCTTATCCGACCGAAAATGATACTTCTCCTGGTTCTCAGCATCAGCACGATTCCGGGGACTTCGCAACCATGAACGCAATCCTCACCTTCTCGGATAGGTCCTCATATTTTTGGGCGTATATACAGAGTAGACTGGCAAGCATAAAATTAGTATCGGAAAGAGATCTCTAAGTTAAATGTCGTACTCGTCCACTATGACGTCGACCCATCCCCCGTCCCGATAGAATATGAAACCGTAGACCCCCACGGCGGGATCGCTCTGCCACATTGTTTAGGGAAGCGAATACGGAGCAATGTGAAGGCGAGACATACATCAACACAGATCTTGTTTATTAGGTCCGGAACCGTGCTAACTGTAGCGAGAGCCGACAGGAACCAGCAGTCAGCGAGGCGACCTTGGACAAGGTCGTCTCCGGTAGCACCGTTGATCATAAACTTGGGTTTATCGAAGATCTCCCCTACCCGCAGTACGTCCAGAGGCTCAGCCTCATCTTGACCCCAAAGTCCGTATAGACAGCTTTCTTGATCCTCTTCGAGATCGAATTCGATATCGCTGGAAGGTGAAGGCTCTCAAGTGAGTCCCGTAGGTTGATACACGAGGATAGAACGTACCGGAAGCGTCTATTCCGCTTTCTGGAGGGGAAGAAATCGTCGACCTCTTTTGCATTTCCTCGCCAGATACAGCAAATTCACGTACCTACAGTCCTCGCTGATCCGCTGGACACGGCGTCTGCACCGTTCAATGGCATTTTGCAAGTCTTCCGTGACAATTAGCCTCTACAGTCGGTAAACGGTAAGAATATTGCAGGGCTCGTTAGTCCTGCATGAGAAGGAAACCTCTCACAGAGTGCTCCTCCCGTTGCTCGTATGTTTCATTTGACCATAACTTGAAGAAGCTTCCCAACGACATCGTGAGCGGTGGAAGAGAATAAGGACTACAGTTCTGAGATTTCAGTCCACCTCAATACTGCCTTAAGTACCTGAGACGTCGAGCGCTCTGATCAGCGCTCATTTTAGCATGGTGGACAGCCCCGGCCTGTGCCAATGGTTTTCAGTCAGTGGTGGTGTAACTGCCGGTATCGAGGAGGCGGCTGATGCCGCGTCTAGCTTGCTAGCGGGCACCAATTACCAAAGCCAACATAGATGAGCTAGTAATTCAGCGCCGCGATGGAAGTAGCTATGCACACGGCGCGATATATGATATGGCAGCAGAAACAGCACGGAAGCCTGGACACAAGGAAGATTTCGTGCATAAATCCATCAAGTAGGTGTGCCGAGATAGCGACGTGAAGCCAGGAATAAGGTAGAACAAGGTCTCAGAGTACCGGAAGTACGTCTGCGAAACAGCGACGTGCGCCAATCTGCTTTTCTGCAGGATCAATATCAGATCTGCTCTTCAATGGGGCTACAGCGCGACGCGGGTCTCCGTCGTCAATGCGCAGATGGCGATGATCCGTTGTTTGAGCCAACCAACGCTGTAGAATAGTCCAGGCAAGATTAAGTTGAGCAATGATCGGAGAAACGTCACGACTGAAATCCTTCGGCGTATCATAGACACGAGCAGACAGCGAGATCACGGCGGATGTACCAGGGTGTCCAATAACATCAGAGGACACGTCTGGAACATCCGTCCAGACGTTCATGGGAAGGGCGCGTATCCTGCTGCGTAGAGTCATATGCAGCCCCGAAGAGAAGGGTGAATGGGCTCCTAGGGCGTTTTCACCATACGTGTACGGAAAGCGGGTTGATCACAAGCCCTGGCATATGCTCTTCTATATATAGCGGGCATGACCGTAGCTCAAGTGGCTTGCTCCGAAAAGTTAGTCAAAAGTTCGATTCCATGTCTTCACAGGGCACCCTACGCACTATGGACTAATAAGGCTGGTAGCGCCGCCCTCCGGGCGGCAAGGCCCGCTACCTTGGGTGGGGGATCGGGAATAGATGTTGTAGTGCGTATTTGTTACTCAAGCTTGCATGTATTGGGTTTTTTCCTTCACAGATTTATTGCTGTTTGACTGTTAACGGTGTCTCTATGCGTCTACTACTGACATGGCATGAGAAGGCGATCCGAGAACACAAGCATCAGTCTCGCTGACCGTCCCAACACAAGTGAGTCACATTACCATGTCACAGATGTCATGCCATATATATTATGTTACGGATGGGATTCTTAGCTCCAGAAGCACCTCGTGGCATCGCAGAAGACTTGTATACGGTGCCTCATGTACTCAGAAGGACCGTCCCGTTGCTGAACAGGATAATACCAGCTACTGTATGACGGTGTGACAATGTCACTATTGGACTGTTGGATGTTTCCGGCGGCCACCGAAGTCAAGTCTTGATTGTTGTCGGGGTGACAATGAGGACGGTGCGAGAACATTATCTGTGCAGTGTGCCGACAATGTTCCTTCCCCGTAATATGGATGTCTTCCTGCAGAGAAGACATCAGATGGTGTATTCGTGTAGAACGAGTCTGGTGACACGGACTTGACTGTTCCACGAGCATATCTCAGATGGCAATTTAATTTTTAATCTCAAGTATCTACAAGAAAAGTAATTATTTCGTAGTAGTACGCCTTGTTTTCTTCACCGGAGAAGATGCGGGAGATGGTGTTGGGCTCATGAATTCGTCAAATGATCTTTTT